CCTCTCAGTGCTGTGCTTTAACCCGCTGTGCCACCAGAGAGGGCCCACTTTATTTTCTTTAAGATTTATTTATTTATGATAGAAGAACTGGACTGTAGGCCAGAGGTACAGGGGGTGAGAAAATTCACCAACAATAGAGTAGGGAGCAGAACAGGTGGATCTACTGATGTACACTGCTGAAGGGAGCAGCTAGTAACACAGGAGAGGTCTGCTGAGTCGTGTGGGTCAGCTCCCTGGCCAGGGGTGAAACTCAGGTCTTAGCAGTAATAGCACTAAGTCTTAAACCCTAGGCCACTAGGGAGGCCCCAAACTTATAACTAAAAATGCCAAAATCTATTTTTATCTTAGTTTGACTTTTTGGGTGTAAGGGCTAGCTGGGAAAAGAGGAAAATTAACAATGGGGCAATGAGTTTCTATGGAATGAAGTTTGGAAATAGGTTCTGGTGTTTGTTAGGCTCTCATATTTGTTATTTTGGTAAACCCCTATTTGTCTACTTGGGCCAAAGCCATCAAAAAAGAAAACCTGCAAATAATATACTTCTTCCTATGATGATAGGGACATCATATATTAAGTATCTCTTATCCATCTGTATGATTTCCCACTCAAAGTAAACAAAACAACAAAAAACTATACAAGACCCCATCAACATTCAAGAACCCACCAACATGACTTTACCAAATTCTGAGGCAGCTTTTGGCTACTGGTTAACAAAGCAAGAATGGCATTTGATCTGGGAAAGGCTTTGCCAATCACAGAATCCTGATAAAAGCTCATTAGTGGTACTTCTTTTACCTGTGTCTCAGGGGACTTTAGAAGATCAAAGCATGCAGGTGAACCCTACTTGGAAGCATTTGGAAATGCTCAATCCCCGAGAAACAAATGAAAATTCTCATATTGTAAGTAACATGATTGAGTCATATACCAGACTCTTTAATTTTTAAGCAAATTGTAAAATGCAAGCCTGAGCTCAATTGTATGAAAAGATTTTTAGAATATCAAAAGCCTTTGGTTAAAGTTTATAATGTTAGATTTCTCAAATATATCATTCTCCATTAAGATAAATAAAAGTAAGTATGAACATACATATGAGAGACTTCTATAATCTGATCTACTTTAGGAAGAAAATATTTATCTTAATAGATTTGAAACTACTTTTACTCCAGTAGGGAAGCTTACCTAGCAAAGCCTAATAATGCTCTATTTTGTTAATTTTTACAGAGTTGGAAGTACTTCTCCTTCATAATTTCCTATACTTCTTATATTGAGTCTATTTTAAAAGCATTTCTTAATTTACTTAACTACAGTCACTATTTCCGCTCTTGCTTATGATCTCCCAACCCTTGGATATCTTCACTGGGGATGTTTATATTGGAAGAAAGTATTTTTTAAAGTAGCTTTTGATACCTACCAGTCCCATGAATAAAGACTTTGTATTTCAAATTCTACATTCATAAATTCATTTCATGCCAAGAATGAGTGGCAGGGAGCCACTATATAATTTACAAGGAAATTTGCAGGAAGCTTTCTTTTTGAGTCTCTGGGCTTAATTAAATAATAGTGTCCTGCTGATTTGACAGTTTCCACCCAAGGCCTGATTGCTGTGTTGCCTTCTAGTGCATCTGCTTGCAGTCTGGCTGCTTTGCAGATGCCATCCATGTACCCTACAGCAACTGCTAGATTTGGGATTGTTAGAAGGTAAATAGATTTCTTGGCTGAAATATTAACAGGAGATAATAATAAAAGGAAGAAGAGAACCATAAATTAAAAGAAAGATTAAGGAAGAACACAACTGTTAATAAAAAGCAAAAATGAGGGGAAAGTTGGATAGAGTGAAATTAAAATAAAGGAGCAAATAAAGAAGGGAAATAAGGACAAGGGGAAGAACCGAGAAAAGGAGCTCCTTCCCGAATGAGGAAATACAAGTTAAATTCTTTCAGTTAATGCTATATGTATGTACATATATCGGAGTATAGAAACATACACATGCTACATACATGTATTTATATATGTATGAATGTGCGTGCATGCATACATATGGATCATGTGTGTTTGTTTGGGGCCCCCATCATCCTGCATTGTTTAATTTCTGGCTCCAACCCCTGCATGTAACCAGGTTGCTGTCCTGCTCTACTCTGACGCCACTGGGTGATCTCCACCAGCTGCCTTCTGCCCTTACCAGCATCACAGCCCTCAGGCTCAGCTTGTCCCTGGGTTACTGCCTCCAAGTGTGTCTGGCACATGGGCAGCCTTTCTGCCCCTCTAGACCTTTCTTACAGCTTGTCACTGAGAAGGAAAGAAGGGAGTTCCACTTATTTATGCCAAAGTGGGGTTTTAAAACCTATCAGATCACATCACTCTTTGCTTAAAACCTGCCAATGTCTGCACACATATACACTATTTCCCATGTCCCACTTGCTTATGTGGTCTGGGGCCTGGTGCCTGGTGCCTGGCTATCGCTGACTCTGTCTTTGTCCCTCCCTTTATCTCTTCCTGACTGAATTCTCACACAACAGGCTTTCCTTTTGACTTAAAAACATGCCCAGTGCTCTTAAGTCAGTACCACTGTATAAATCAATTTCTCCTAGAGCATAATATTTAGCAGAGACCAACCACATCCATTTTTATAGTGTGTTATCTCTAGTGCCCAACAGGTTTCTTGGATAACATTAGATGCTCAGCAATGTGATGTTCTCTAATTTTATATGGGTAGGGAGTGAATGGTTACCCTTTTTTCCGCAATCATAATGTTGGGAGACAGGTGAGATGACCAGTAGAAGGGTGTGTATGTAAAAAATAGATAATATATGACTTTAAAATTATTAGAACCACACAGTAGTATAGACAATAGACCATTAGATGCTTGTTGAATGAGTGAAAGAAACTGAGCCAATACGATTTTCCTTATTTTTAGATAAGACACTGAGGCTCCTGAGTAGTGCATGTGAGAACACATAGCTGGTGTTGGCAAATCTGGGATTAGAATCTTGGACTGGTGCAAGTTCTAATGATCATTCTGGCTGTCTTTCAACATTAACTGGTACTGTCCAAAAACCAGGATTTTTTAAAATGTTGGGGGGTGTAGTCACATTGAGAGGTCCGCCTCCAGGGAAGTCCCTGCAGGCATTTGGCGTGTGTCAGTAGGAGGCTGTTTTTTGTACCCACCTAGGGCAAGTTCATCAGGATGTACTTTGGTGCCAGAGGCAAGTTGTCATCCAAGATGTATCTGGAAGCAGCTGTTTCACTGATTTCTTTTCTTCTAAGTTTTACAAGAATAGCTAAGTATGAATTTTTACCCATTTCAAATCATGCAGATTTGCTAGAAAAATCCCCAGTGATTTTCCAGCAGCCTGGCAAAACTACCACATATTCTATCAAATTCTGTCTGGGGGAGAAAAGGACTACATGGTATGTGTATCGTTCTGGAGCTGAGGACTACTTCAAAGTAAGAGAACTCAGTATTGGGGCTAGAAAAGCACTATTTAGTAAGTCTGATAATCTTTTGAGTTATGTTTATTCATCTTACAATTTAAGGAATCAAACTAATGATAGGACCAATGTCCTCTAATTTTATATGGGCATGGAGTGAGTGGTAACTTATTTTCCCCAACTTCATGATGTTTGGATGTGGGTAAAATGTCTGGCAGAGGTGTGTGTGTGTGCATGTGTATAAAAAATGGATAATTTTAGACCATAAAATTGTTAGAACCACGTGGTAGTATAATTAGACACCAGAAGTGGGAGACCTCACCAGGGTCGTGGGAGTGCTATAAAGACTAGGAGATGTAGCTTGGGCTATGAAGGAAGGAAAGGAAATTTAACCCAAGCAATAAGTGGAGACAGAGTCAGAGGAATATAGTATATGCACTGGCAGGAAGGGAAGAGGCAAGCACAGGGAACAGGGACCAAGCTCCCTGGGGGTGAGGCTCTGCACTGAGGAGGAGTGGAGGTTTGATCCTGGTGGTTTGTGAACACAGGGAGTCTTGAGGGTTCGTGGATGTCTGTGCATGCCTGTGTTTGCACATGTGTTGTATTATGGGGGTGGGGTGGGGTAATATGAGGCTGTGCTTTGCTGAGGGTCATCAGGTTGGTTGGTGTGATGGGTGGGACAGATAAAGCTATAGCAGTAGTTCCAGGATGAGATGACAAGATAAGTTGCAGGTGGATTCTATGTGAATGGAGGGGAAGGGAATGGATTCATGGACAGACGGGTTGTGGCAGTGATATGTATGGAAATGAGTGAGGAGTCAAAAATACCCCTAATAAAACAAAAAATACTCCCAAGTTTTATAACTGGGAGAAGGTAATGTAATAAATAGCAAAGCAATTTTGAAGTAAGAAAGTGAATTACAGATATTGGTGCAACAATACACTAGACTGCTTTGCAAGAGTGAAGGATAGAGAAATGAAGAAGACAAAGGTCTGCCCACATGAGCACGTGGTCTGCTGTGAAGGGTGGGTAATGAGCAAGTAGACCAAGCATCATGTAACTCAGAGTGGTAGTTGCACAAAGAAAAATAAATTGGGGTGAGAAGTTAGAGTAAATTGGGACTTGGTAGGCTAGCAGCTGTTGAGATCTTAGCGAGGCTGGTCAGGTAAGATCTCTCTGAAAAGGCAGTATATTTGCAGATACCTGGAGAAGTGAGGCAGGAACAAGTGTGCAAATATTTCAAGGAACAAGTAACAGTGTGTGCAAAGGCTGAGACAGGACTGCATTTGGTTGATGGTTGGAATAGTATAATGGACACTGTAAGTGGGGGAATGGAGCCGGCAGTATGGGGAGTGGTGGGGGAAGGTCAGACAGGTAGCAGAGTGTTGACTTAGGTGCATGGGGATTCATTGGAAGGGGAGTATCACAAGGTATTTGGATTTCATAGGTTTTACGTATAAGGTAAGCCACGGAGGACAACAGTGCTTCCAAGAGTGTTGTGGATGGGAGCCAATATTTGGGTGAGTAAACAGTGAGACAATTTCTCCAGTCCATTATGCTTAGATTAAATAAGGTAGAAATCTGGTAGTGTTCTAACAATATGGTCTTCACCCCCAACGTACCCTCAACAGCTAGGCTATTTCTGTAAACTGGACAGTTATTTTCACTCAGAGAGCAATTGCTGATTGGTAAATGTCTTTATGGTCCTCCTTCTTCCCCTTAAGCAAACAGTAAAATATTTGGTCTTTTGTTAGCCCTGCCTCATCTGATATTCTTGACACAAATTTCTATAGTGTGCAGGATATATCACCTACGGTCCCATGTGGTTGCCATCAATGGCTACCATTTAGAACACTGTTTACTAGTAGAACTATATGAAAACTCTAATGGTTGCTAATAGAAATTCATGTTTATTTGAAACTCATTTATGTGTCTTTGGGGACCACTGAGATTGATCGCTATGCAAAGTCTGACATCTGGTGGTCCAAATTGGATATTGCCAGTCCACTGTTTTCCACATCAACGATAATTTTCTGGGAAATGAAAAAATTTGGAACTCCTGCTCTTCAAGTTTGTCAAAAAAAAAAAAAAGAGATATGCGTGTCCCAAAGATTGATATAAGAAAGCACAATTTAACATAAGAGTATGTCTAAATTTCCTAAAATGTCAGCATTTCCTATAATCAGGAACTGAAAAATCATAGCTGAGAGCTAATTTCCCACTAAAAGAGGACAGAAAAGAAAATGGGGAGAGGTATTACCCCAGAGCCAGTCTCCATCTAGCCTCTCCATGGCCTGGAATGTCCCTTCTCCCCCTTTCTTTCTCTTCGCTTCAGTGTCCTGCCAGTCCGGCATGGCTGCAGCCACGTCCTCGGCCCCGCCCCATGGCTCCTTCAAAAGTCTTCAGTTTTTGCTATTTTAATACCACTCCTACCTAGGCCCTGCATGTGTCCTCCTTCGGATTACTTTCCTTCTGTTTTGTCCATTCACTTTGTTCAGCTGGTTTATAAACGCTAAGAAGAAAGATCAGGAAACTGGTCCTGGCTCTTGGAATCGTCGACACTTTACCTCGTGGCCTGCACTCATCAAGTGTGTGACAAGACAGTGCAGGGGCTGCTGGGAGCTGCCTGTGAGTCCATCTACGGTGACCTGGTGCCTCTGGAGAGAGAGTGTCAGCGATGGACCTCTCCTCTGGGGCATACTCAGTGGTAGCCCCTTTACCCACTTAGCCTCCTCTTTTCTCCACTAGCTGTTAAATGCAAAAGATAAGGGTAGTTTGTTCACACTGTGCTCTGTCTAACTGGAGAGAAAGCTAGGAAAAGAATAGACGATATGAACGATTCTCTGAAGTTTGGCTGTGCGCAGCTCCTTCAGCTGTGTGGGGCAGCTCTGAGGAACAGGTGACAATATATGATGAGGCCTTAAGGTACTGGCTTCAAAACTTGGTCATTTTAAACCTGTTCTGGCCCAATGTTAACTTTGCTCCATACTCAACAAGATGAATTGCAGAGACCATTAAGCCACTCAGTAAGTAAAACTTGGTGTCATTAGATATGTTAAACAAGCCTTGAATAATAAAATACTCATTCTTAATGGGTCTTTGTACTCCCTATGGGAGAAAGGGTGCTAGAAATGAACCAACAGAAAGGTTGACACCTGTACTTACTGAAACTGTGAGGCAATTGACTTTAACCTTAGCCCCCTCTCCCTACCATCCGCCCCTTCCCTGTTGACAAGCTGCCCCCAGCCTCCATGTACCATACCATGGCATACTTCTGTATTGGCATTACTGATCTGAAGAGTCATCTTGTTCAAATTTTGCCTCCTAAAATACATTTTACTTCCCTCCCCGCACCCCCAACATTTCTCTTGGTAGAACTGAAATGATTTAAAGGACGCTGTTTATATGCTACTTCTCTGAGATAATCTCAAGCCTCAACCCAGTTAAAATACATTGCTCCTGGAAAGTCAATTCTGATAAGGCCCAGCAGGAAGATGTTTTTCAGTGAAGGACTCTGATTCCTCCAAGGCATATATCCAGTCTGTAGACTGTCTGATTTAGTACTACCACCTCACATTACGGGTCATTACTCCAGTGAAAGTTTAGGGTAGTGCAGCAGTCCTTTCTCTCATCATAAGGAGGTAGAAGTCCAATAGGTGTACTTTATGACACCTAGAATGACTTTAGAAAGGTTGAATCTGGAAGGAGGGAGACGCTGAGGGACACATTTGTGTATGGCACTTGGACCCATTGCTCCACCCCACTGCCAACCTCTTTCAGACCCCCTCTTCTTCTGGGCTCGCTAGACGTTTGGCATGTGGTATTCTTCCCCTCTGCTCTGTCTCCCTCACTGCCTGCTCCAGTTGTTGAGTTTGCTTAGGTGGAAGCCAGACTTTCCTCTCTGACAAAGGAGGAATGGAATCTCATAGTTAGGATACAGGCTTTAGGTGGGCAGCTGGCCTCACAAGAAATGCTAGAGACTGTGTTCTAAATTCACTTTATCAGGAGTTTTATCCTTGGTAAGTTGTGAACTCTTCTAGGCTTCTACTTTCCTATATTCAGTGTGAAGAAAGTAATGTCGAATATTTGATCATCATACTAGGATTAAAAATAATAAAAATAGCAATAAGTATGAGAGTAACATGAAAATTAGGTAAAAGGTCAACTTGGAATGATCTAAAAGATAATTCTTGGCTAAGTAATCTTAGAAATGGAATGTTTTGAATGAGCCAGACAATAGAAAAATGCCCCCAAACTAAAATCATAGAGCATTTCCTGAAGCTTAGGTATATGATACCTCTAGTCTTCTTAGGGGAAAATTTCATGTCCTTTTTGTAGCCTTAAGCATTGATTTAATCTTTCTCTTAAATTTTTTTCTTATGATAGGGAAAAAAAAGATTAAATAGTGCTTTGATTTGAAAGGCAGAGATGACATCTATATCTGACAGTCAAGGGGAAACAAGACAGGACAGGTCGCCCCTACTGTCTGGCCTTGGGTAGGGTGGTGACATTTATTGGCATAAGAAACTACAAAAGAGTAACTTCAGGGAAGACCTGGAAAATGTGAATTCAATTTTGGTAGTTTAAGCTACTTACATTGAAATGGATAATGGGGAGTTACAGATCTATGTCTGGAGCTCAGATAATTAAGATTTGAGAGTCCTCACTAAAAGCCATAAATGAAAGTCATAGAGGAAAATAGAGATGCTCTTGACCTTTGAAGTTGACAGTATTTGACACGCTGAAACCTCCCTCCTACTTGAAAATCTCTCCCCTTGGCTCCTGTATAAGGCTTTCCCTTGTTTCTCTCCTAAATAGCAGGAAATTTCTTTCTGGGTTCCACTCTTTCATCTAGTTCATGACTTTTCAATTTCCTGGGGCTCCGTCCTTGGGTCTGTCTTGTGCTAACTAAACTGACAACTCTACAGATCATTTTTATCTGGTGGCTCCCAAATTTGGAGCATGAGCCCAGACTTCTCCCTAGTATTCCTGACTCATAGCTAAATGGTTTTTAACTCACTCCTTGATTGGTAAAGGACTAGATTATATGAATAATGTACACTATGGACTTGTTCCTAATTTTTTTATTGAATCATACTTTCTCCAGATTTTGTACCATGTAAATGACAATCAGAATACTGTGGTTTAGGCTGTATATCTATCAAGAGCTATGAGTTTTTAATGTTGAGGAAATTTCTGTGGGAAAAAAAGTAAAAAAAAAAGTCTTGAGACATTGAGATTTCCACTTAGCTTACTCAGAGAAAATAATTTCAAAGAAAAATATCTTTTGTAGAACTTCATAGGACCTAACCATACAGGATATACTCTTTTTGTCTGGCTTATTTCATTCAGCATATTTGAGATTCTTCAGGTTGTAGCATATAGTAGTCATAGTTTATTTCTTCTTTTGCAGTTATCAAGAGTTAATTGTTGATGGACATTTGGGTGGTTTCTAAGTGAAGCTGCTATGAACATTCACACACAGCAAGTTCTGTTTCTGGTCTGTGGAGTTCAGGATGACAGGGTCTTCACTGGGTGCTCAACACAAAAATCAGATCTTCTCAGAGAAAGTTCAAGTGTTGGCATTAAGTGGTTAACATGATTTGGACAAGTCAGTTGTGATGTGCTGCTGACAGCTGCTTGGGCTCAGCCTGCATTGTTTCCTGACTAAGTGAATCATGTCAGGAATCTCAGACAGAGCAGAAGGGCTATGCTGAACATAGTAGCTGACTTATGGATCCCTTGTAAGAAGGACTCAGTCTCGTGATAGGGAGGACTTTGTGTGACAGGATCGCACTGTTCTGGTTTCCTGGGCACTGACCCCAGGGCCCTGCTGCTTCCTAGCCTTTGAAGCTCAGGTCTATTATTTTTATAACTTTACATATTTTTTATCCTTCAGCCTTCAACCATGTGTCTAAGCCAAATTCCTGCTTTCAAAGTTTTGCCAGCAAATAATACCTGTTTTTTTCACACCAATTCAAGTTGTTGCAATTGAATCTGCTTTCGATTTGGCCTGCCTAGTCTTCTCTTGGGAGACATTAACACATGACTGACAAGTTAATAGAGGGCAAAAATTGATTGCCGAGGTTTGGGTGTAGAATATGGATTTTATTTTGGCTTGTTTACAAGTATGCTGTAAGCTGTAAGAGTAAACTGTGAATATTGGTCAATTATTTTCTAAAGCCTCAAGGGTTTCTTTAAGCTGGTTAACTGATGGTTTTTCCACCACAAATATGCTCCTGGTGTCTGAAAATCCTTCTGAATTTCACTTTTGCTGTCATGGAGTGGTTGCTGTGGAGAGTTTGCCTGATGCTGAAGAACTGCTGGCCACAGATGTAAGACTTGCTAGTTCCCAAAGTCTGGTAATAACGATGAGAAATGAAAAAAAGCATCTGGGTTCGCTGTTCTTCCTAAGTTCCTGGGAGTGGTGGTTCTTCCCCTTGGGAATGCACAGTAGAAGGGTCCCCTCTAGGCCTGCCTCTGCGTGCACTTATTTATTATAAGAGTGTGCATTCTCAGTGTGGTACTTGGGGACACACAGAAAACCAGAACAATATTTCAACACAATGACAACCACTGATTTTATATGGAATCTATCCCTGCAGTTTTTAATCTAGTTTTTCCCATTGGAGGTTGCTATTTTTTTTAAAGGAAAAAAATAATTATATTCATACTGTGCATATTTGGTATATAGAGCTTGCATTTTCAATTTGATTGTATAAGCATTTTCAGAGTTATATTACAAACTCTTCATAAACATTTAAATGGATATTTAATATTTTATCAAGCATTTGTCCTGTAGTTCATTTAGCCATTCTTCAAATGTTGTTTTTGTTTTGTTTTGTTTTTCTTCTACTGTGGAGAATATCTTTGTAGGTAAATGATTTTTCTGTATATCACATTCACCTTATGCTAGAGTCTTAAAAACGAAATTAATGGCTAAGGATTGTGTATTTTTATAACCTTCTGATACAAATTTAAAATTAGCCCCTGGAAAGATTGCACTAATTTTCACCCTCCTGGAATGTGTGAGAACACATATCTTGTCATGTGCAGTGGTTTAGGATGTAAATCTTTGATGATAGGGCTTTTCTTAAATACTTCCTTTTGCTTGTCTTTGAAATATGTCTCTTCTGGAATAAAGTAGGGAGAACATAAGGAATCCTAGAAGTAAGCAATCCATCAGATACTGGTACAACTTCTGCCACAATCATGAAAGGCAAAATAATTGACCTCACAGAGCCCATTTGATGATTAATTGCCAGAAGCAGGGGATGGGGGAGAGTATGAAGGAAGGTTCTAAAACTACTGGAAACTAAAGTCAAACCTGGTGCCTTCCTCAGTCTTCTATTAAAGGAATAAGCAGACTGCAGTGACCAAGTGTGGACAGGGCAGATGTGCATTGCTTTGAACAGAGGCTGTGGTGATCCCTCACTCCTGGCAGCAGTCATGGCCCAAGGCCCAGGGTGTGGCTGCAGCCATTAGGCAAATGAAGACATAGCCTTCTATGTTTCTTTTTACAGCCAGTCATGGACATCTTGGGCTTTCTTCCTGATAAGAAGTATGGATCCTTTAAACTCACTGGAGCCATCCTGCTCTTTGGAAACATGAAATTTAAACAGAAACCCAGAGAAGAACAAGTGGAAGCAGATGGCACAGAAAGTAAGCATTCTTTTGAAGACATAGACGCTCTTCAAATCCTCAGTCCCAGGTTTGCTCCTCTTTTCCTTGCAGTTGA